TTCTGCATTTTCACTAGCACACCGCGCCATAGAGCTTTACTTTGTGCTGGGAAGGGCAGTTACAAAGGTGCATTGTGTTGAGGAGCCATTCACAATGAATGGCACCCCAGTGCTCCAACACACGTAACATGTATTACCCCAGCACAGTGCTGTGAATAGGCCCTAAAAGAACTCTAGTTATGGAAGTAGTGGAGCAGAGAAAGCAGAGAAGAGAACTAGTCATAAATGCAGGATGTTAGCTAATTCTTACAACACTCAAGTTTCTGCCCATTCTGAGATGCATTGGTGATGTTACAGGTGTATGAGTAATGAATGAGCTCACAAATGATCAGACAGGCAGATAGAAAGATAGAAAAATCATTTTATGGAAGAAGGTTGAAAAAGGGTAGATCGTACGGGCTTTTAATGAGCATACGACCATCGCAAGACAAAAGTCTTGCGATGGTCGTAAGGTGTATGGGCACCTTAAGAGGCAAGTAAAAGTATTTTCATAAGATGAAAATACTTTTGGTCATCTATCCTTACCATCTACAGGATAATGTCTCTAATTAACTTGTGTGAGGAGTCGAAGAGTGCGTAAAAATACTTTGATAGATCACTTGCATTCAAAACAAAATATCTTTAAAAAAAATAAGACTCATCATAAATTACACCGTTTTGAAAGCATACCTGTTATGAGAGACATACCTAAGCTTACAACCTAAAAAAATAGACATCTGGTTGTCAGGTCTGAGCAGCACATTGCTCTTATGTTTTACAGCAGTCATTGCTCTTATGTTTTACAGCAGCACATTGCTCTTATGTTTTACAGCAGCACATTGCTCTTATGTTTTACTATGTTGTCCAGGCATGTTGTAATTAAGGTGATAGACAGCCAGTGCTTCAGGAAAAATATACTTTAAAGCAGGGCTGGCTAAATCCCAGGAGCCAGGTGGCCAATGCTCCTTAAGGTGGCCATACACTTTACAACCATCGCAAGACCTTAGTCTTGCGATGGTTGTAAAGTAATTTAAAAAATTTACGATCTGCCCATCTTGGACAGGCAGATCGTACTTGTGATCATCGCAAGCCTGCCCCGCTGAGGGGTAGGCTTCCGATGACTGCAAAGCCGAACGGGCAGTGTGTGCTTGCGCAAACTGGCCCAATCGGCTTTTATTTTACGAACAATGCTACACACCCACCGAAAATTGTCCGATTCTCAGCGGGTTTTCGAACATGTTCCTAAGATAAAAGTTGTGCAAGCTTACAGTAGTAGATTTCCCGCGATTATCACCCGATTATCGCAAGGTGTGTGGGCACCTTTAATAAAAAAATTTCTTCAGCTGTTCTCAATGGAGCTGATTCCTAAAAAAAATCCTGCTGGCTCCTGGATTGGACAGACTGGCTAGTGAATTCCATATTAATTGTCCACCCCTTCTTTAAAACGACATAGGGCCAACTTCCCTCTATATTTATACTACACAAACCAGATTAGATCACCATTGTGTTTTAAATGCCGCAGCATATTCTGAATTGAGCAGCATACCACTTCTGTGAGCTTGTGGGCTGTCCACTACTGCACATGTGCATATTTCTATATTAGAGTATAGCAAATCCATGTTTTCGCAGTTGAACTGCCCATTAAACTACAGAGATAAAAACTCAGCCATGCATAGTAGCACACTCAGCCAAATAGAAGTGAAATACTCCCTGCCATAGTCTGCCGCATTTAGAATAGCATGATCATATAGTACTGAAGGAAAGAGCGAGAAAGATCAACCTGTGCATAGTAAAGCAATCCTATAAACTACTCAGTAGTGCGAGACTGAAATCTCCCAAGAAGTTTATCTATATAGCTGGCCATGCACCTTGCAATCTAATTGAACAATATTTTTTAGATGAACAAACAATTATATAATTACAAGAACGTACCTGACTAGGTACAAATTGAGTGGATTGTTTAAGTAGGGCTATTGCTACATAGTTACATAGTTTTAATATATCCGATGTATATTTTATAGAGATTTCACATTCAGATTCCAAGTTGTAGGGTCAGCTTAAGAAAACTAAAAAATTGGACATATTGTTTAGGAACTGGACAATATGTCCCACAGCTGGGGACAACCATACATGAAGATCCAAAGAAGTTTATCTCTAAGGCCTTGTTCCCACCAAGCGCGTTCCAGGAGCAGAGCAGTTACAGACCAGAGCAAAACTGCGTCCAATGTATTCCAATGGTATTTTTAGCTCCAGTTCACATCGCAGCGTTCCGTTCCAAAGAAGGTCCAGAGCAGGTAAAAAAAAACTGCAGCAGGCCATATTTTACCTGCTCTGGAACGCATGCAAACGCATCAAAAACACATGCAAACGCCCTGGAAAGCACTGAAAGTCCATTTTAAACTAAAAACATTGTTTTGTTTTGTTTTTTTACCAAAAGCGGCCCGGAACAAATCAAAAACGCGGCAAAACCCACTGCACTGCGTGTGCAGAAACTCATGCAGATCTGTTCTGCATTTGGTGTGAACAAGGCCTAAAGGTGGCCATGCACCTTGCAATCTAACTGACCATATGGTTTCTGTAACCTACAGCTGTAAATCATAAATGGGAAAGCTATATGTATTGAGTCATCTTTTAGGAGGAGAGAAGGCATTGACAGACCACCACTTAGCCATCCAATCTCTTAGCAAATTTTAGGGTGGTGGGACAGATTTACAAAAGTAGACATGCCAACTACGATGACAACGCTAACAGTATGTGTGGGGGCTTGGCATTGTTGGTATGATTTTTTTTTCACTGGAGACACCTTTCTAGTTTTTGTACATGAGATTGTAAAAACCTATGGTCTGCTCTGTACAAACATTACAGATAGAATAGACTTTGTAACCAAAGTGGAAACACCACTATGCATATGGCAGCTGCTAGCCTAAGGTCAGCGCAGCGTACACTGCTTCTGCATGAGCTTCGGAAGCATGACTATACAGTGAATGATCAGCAACGTACAGCATCCAGCCACGTACATGACCCAGCTGACATGCAGCCTGTTACTAACAGGGTAAAAGTGCACAATATGTGTCCGCAATTAGAGTAAACTTTAAACTTTAGAGTAAACTTTATAGCAGCTGTCACAAGCAGTTAGTTTACACACTGGTTCTACACAAGTCTTTACTATGTCACTTATTATGGTGTACCTATTGAGAACTTTATAGAGATAAATGATCATATTCCAATAAAGTGAAATCTACCTTTAAGCTGCTAGCACTGGAGTCCCTATATATATATATATATATCTCAATGATCTTTTCCTTACCTCTCAGTTTTGGCTCTGTAGTCACTGTTCTGCTGAGATGAGGTGAGTGTGAAAAGTTTTTCTCCCTGCTGATTCTTAAAGCTGGCAGGGGCTGGTTATAATTTACTGAAAGGAGGAGACACAGCAGGGAGAAGTGTAATGAACTTTCCTCCTTTCACAGAACAGATACTCTATACAGAAAAGTTAAGACTTTTATTACAGTGCAGTTTCCCTGGTAAAGGGAACAGGTGTGCATGTCCAATAAATCTCAGTTTAAAATGTTAAATTGCATTGACTTTTCACCAGAATATCTAGAATGTACAAATTTATTTCCTTTCAGCAAAAATTAGTTTTGCAGAACTATTTAGAACATACCCTGCCATCTGGGCATTTTAATTCTACAGGGTCTTACGAAAGCACAATGCTGCTACATGCCAGGGGTCCCAACCTGAAAAAAGCAATTGTGGAATGAATAGCTAATTTGCTATTGGCTAGTTCAATTTGCAAAATCCAATAGCAAGCTGGCTATTGCACCCAACCTCTGCTGCTGTCAGTCACTAGAAGAAAACCTGATGGAGAACTTCAGATCCCCCTCTGCTGATTGACAGCAGCAGTGGGCGTGTGCAATAGCTAGCTTGGAACGCGCTGTAAAACGCCCAGGTGTGAACCAGGCCTTAAGGCGGAGTGGGGCACCTCGAGGCATATCTGCATTCAATTTATCCACTGCTATATATGATCCAATATGTAGCCTCTTATAGAGTTAGGACCACATTATACAGAGGAGCCTTGATGAGGCAGTGTGGCTTCCACATATTTTGCAAAAGTTGTGCAAAAACCTCTGCTTTTAACACATATTGTTACACTGTGTAATTTGTTTTGTTGCAGGATAGCTGGTAAGTGTGCTGGTAAATGTCTGTGTTATGTATTGATCAAAACCAGAATTAAATTCTTACTAACAAGGGAGAACTGGCACAATTCACAGATAGGTTGAGGAACAAGCTAATATTGATGCATCCCTTGCTGTTTCGACCTCCAGGAGCTTTAAGAAGAACATACCTCCATGTCTATAGGCAATAATAGAACTCTGCAGAAAACCTTGGATAAGCAAACAGGGAAAAGTTAATGGTTGTAATTAGGGATGCACCGCAATTCCAGCCGCCGAAACATATTGGCCGAAAATGGCAAAAGTTCCACCTTTTGGCCAAAATTGCGGTGCATTCCTAGTTTAATCCCTCCTCTCTAGCCCCTGCTCTATGTCCCCCCTGACACAGCGCAGCATCCAGCAGGGAGGAGAGAAACATTCAGGCGGCCAAGCGGTGCGGGAGGAGAGCGATGTGAGCCGCGATGTCACAGGAGGCCGAGCTCTCCTCCCGCAGCATGGAGAACGGTGTGGGGGAGGAGACAGCTGCCACAGGAGGCCAAGCTGGTGGTTAGGGGGAGGAGACAGCTGTCAAAATAGACCAAGCACTCCTCCCTGCAAGCCACTTCAGCCACCTGTGAGAGCAAGTCAGGATGGAGAGCAGGAACAAGCAGTCAGCTATCATCTGAACGCTGACTGCTTGTAAATAATTGAGGACAATAATAATGTTTTCTGTGTCCCCAATTATGAATGAACAGGAAGTGATCTACATCACTTCCTGTTTGTTCATGATTGTGGATATAGTAAACATACTATCTCCACAAGTACTGAATGAACAGAAACACTCAGTATAGAGGATTGCTGTTCAATCATAACAGAGGGTGCAGAAAAAGAGATTTAGGACTTCAATCTCTTTTTCTATTTTAAAAGGGAACTTAAAAGGGAACTTCCCCGAGACCCCTAACAGTAAAGTTTAAAAAAATAGAAATATTTATTCAAAAATAAATAAATAAAAATAAAATATATAAAAAGTTTAAAAAATAAAAATGAAATATTTTTTTTAATTAAAAAGGTTAGAAAAAAAATAATTTTCCGTTTAGGCCTAACAGTTTCAAAATTTCATTTCGGTGCACCACTAGTTGTAATGGATATGTTGAGCAGCTGCTCTAGATATTAACTGTCAAGATGGTGCTAGACACGTGGCCAAGCCCTTCTTGTTTTATTGGAAATAGGAACACAGAGACAGGAAATTACATCATAACCATGTAGTTCCACTAGAAAGAAGATTACATTAAGCAAGCATTAAACAATGCTGCCACCTAGTGGCAGAACTACTAATCACAGTAGAATATATGAGGATAGTTGTTGTTGCAACTATGTCTGTACAAATATTTTCCTAACACCCCCACTTAACAACAATTCTCATATAAGTCCAATCATTTTTTTATTGCAATCCAGACCCTTTCTGGGGTTTACATCTGCAGAGAAATGACATGGCAGCTCCTATATCTGGACATTTTATGGCTGCAATGTATAAAAGTGTCCCCACTACTTGTCATTACTGTCTATTGTTAAAGTGACATTAAACCCTCAGATTTTTTAACATAAACCAATACTGTAATGTGTGCCTTACTGTAATCCATGGTTGTTTCCCTTCTCTTTGCTGCTCCTCCTTTTAAATCCTCATGTCTTCTCATGCTTGGGAAGAACTTCCCTTTTCAGCTCAGGGCCTCTTCCTGTAGTGCTGGCTCAGGTTTCAAGCCTATACAAACGTATACACAGACACCGTGTATCCATTCCTGAGACAAGGCAGTCTGCTGCAAAACAGAAGTTCTGCAGAGCATGAGAACAGATACAGATTTAAAAGGAAGAGCAGCAAAGAGAAGGGACACAACCATGGATTACAGTAAAGCACACATTACACTATTGTTTTATGTTAAAAAATCTGAGGGTTTAATGTCACTTTAAGTAGAAGTCCTTCTTGCCCTTTCAACTGTAGGTAATTCTTTAAGTTCCCTATCTTAGAGTTGATTCAGACATGTCATCTCTTCACCTGCATCTTTAATCCACTTCCGCTTCTCATGCACAGGTAACTTTTGCATTTCTTCCCATGAAGCTGGCTCAGGCTGTGGCACTGTATGAATCATATATAACAATTGTCTAGCTAGGATGACCTCACTGGATATTGCAGACTTTCTGACTGTGGTTGCAGGTGGTTCAGCTTCTTCCTTTTCAGAGGATAAACCACTGTCGCCAATTTTAACTCGTTCACACCAGACACAGTGCGTTCCGGCCCGATTCTGGCCAGAACACACTGCATCGCATTGTGGCCACCTCACTATGTTGTGGGACAGAAGGGGGCGTGGCGGTCCATTGAAGTGAATGGCACCGTAGTCACGCCCTCCAGCCGCAATGCGATCGGCTGCATGGGAACGCAAGGCACATTATGCCTGTGGTCCGGTCTGAACAAAATAGTGCTTGCAGCATTTTCTTCTGACTGGACCGAACAGCAGGCAAAATGTGGCTTGCGTTTCCGTGCGGCCGATCACATTGCGGCCGCAGGACGTGGCGATGGTGCCATTCACTTTAATGGACCGCCACGCCTCCTGCCCCACAACATAGTGAGCCGGCCGCAGTGCGACCCAGTGGGTTCTGGTCACAATCGGGCCGGAACGCACTGTGTCTGGTGTGAATGAGTTAAAATTGGCGACAGTGATTTATCTTCTGAAAAGGAAGAAGCTGAACCACCTGCAACCACAGTCAGAAAGTCTGCAATATCCAGTGAGGATATCCAGTGTCTGGTGTGAATGTTCTTTTTCTTGCAGCACTGGTGGGACTTCCTGCTCAGGTTGTTGTTTAGACAGTGTTGACTGTGTCACTTCATGAGGCTTTTGACACATTTCATTAATAATTACCTTGCTGACTGTTACCTTATTGGTGTCTGGATGCAGAATTTTGTAACCCTTTTGAGACTCACTTTAGCTGACTAATATACTTTCCTTAGCACAAGGTTGCACTTTTGTTTAGGAACATGTCTGTGTGCTTTACTACCAAAGATTTGAATGTGTTTCAGGTCAGGCTTCTTTCCAATTCATGGAATTTATTTCTGTTGCTTTTCTAGGTAAACATATTTGGAGATAACAGACTGTCATCATTGCTTCTCTCCAGTAGGTTGTTGGTATTTCTGCATCAAAAAACAGACTTATTCCACTCTCACATAAGATGTGGTTCACACCATTTTGGCCTGGATTGTATGGTTTACACGGGTACTTGTATCTCACCTTAGAGGTGAACCGCTCAGAATGGATCCAAGACACACCAGCACACCCTGTGGCATGTTTGTAAAGGGATTTAATAAAGCAGGTGAAGCCCTGGATATCTCTGCAGGCACAATCAAGTAGACATACAACAAAATATGAATGCACAAATCCAAGATACAGTAAATACATAAATTGACATATGCAGTACTTATGATCAACTATGATAAAAGACCAACTTTAACTGTCTATCTGAACAAACTGGCTAACTGCTGTTGAGTAAATCACTTGTGTGGTTCAGTCCAGCCAGCCCTAGCGCTATACTAGCGCTATACTAGCGCTATACTGGCCAGTAGCGCTAACAAAGTCCAGCTGGGTTTGGGCCCGGTCTGTACATTGTACATTTGGTCATAACAGTTAAAAGGTCACTGGTTCATAACTTCTCATTGTATTCACGAATTACAGTCTCTGGCAATGACTCCCGCGTAAGCCAGAGAAAGGGGCTTGTTTCTCCCTCTCAAGCCAGTATCCTCTGGGCTTTCAAGGGCACTTTGGTACAACAGGTGTTTATACAGCCAGTCCTTATCTGAATAGAACGGCAATCTGGCAGCCGATACACTAGTCTGGAACATAATTCTACGCTTCCCGAGAATTGCTTGTGTTTTGCAACTTGTGTGCTCTGTGCCATTATCTGTTCAAAGTATTTTAGGCATTCTAGTAATGTGTGTGTGTGTGTGTGTGTGCGCACCTGGAAATATTTGGTTCTAGTAGTTCCCATATCCTTGTATGTTTAGTGAACTTAAAACTAATCTAAGAGTTTCTTGAACTTATCAGTGCTATCAGCAGATACTACTGATTGTGGAAGGCAATTACAAATTTTTACTACTCTGACAGTTAAAAACCCTTTGCGCAGTCTAAGATTAAATTGCCTCTCTTCTAGCCCCATGTTTTGTTTCGTGTCATCAA